TACACCACCACCAGATGTACACCACCATCTCAGGGACCAGATGTACACCACCACCAGATGTACACCACCATCTCAGGGACCAGATGTACACCACCCTCACAGGGACCAGATGTACACCATCATCACAGGGACCAGATGTACACCACCACCACAGGGACCAGATGTACACCACCACCAGATGTACACCACCCTCACAGGAACCAGATGTACACCGTCATCACAGGGACCAGATGTACACCGTCATCGCAGGGACCAGATGTACACCGTCATCGCAGGGACCAGATGTACACCGTCATCACAGGGACCAGATGTACACCACCCTCACAGGAACCAGATGTACACCGTCATCACAGAGACCAGATGTACACCATCATCGCAGGGACCAGATGTACACCACCACCACAGGGACCAGATGTACACCACCCTCACAGGAACCAGATGTACACCACCACCAGATGTGCACCACCACCTCAGGGACCAGGTGAACCACAACACTACCCAGTGCTGCACCAGCCTCACAATTGTTCCCATCGTGGCAGCCACTGTGTTCATCCATTTCGTCCAGGCTCTTTCTCTTTTTTTGCTGCCACCCCCCAAAAACCTACCAAGCACGATGTTGTTCTCCAGGGCCGGTCCCTCTGGAGCGCATGCCCGAAGTACGTGAGACGGAGTCTCTCCTCCTGGCTTCTTAGAGCATTCTCGTGGCTCTTCTCCCGGGGCGTGTGCCCTCGACAGTCCTGGGTACTCTCAGTACTCTTCACCAGCACCGTGGTTCCCGTGGTGAAGGGGCTAAAGCCTCGTGCCACTGCTGGTCTCTCCCTGCCCAGAGAGCACGTGGACAAGCTGGGGCACAATGTCCAGTGGACGCATGGATCACGTGACCCTCCGCCTTCACAACTCTGAGACCAGAAGAACTAGATGTGTTCTGTAGTGCATGTGGGTGCGTGTGTGTTAACTTTGCATTGTGATTTGAAAGGAGCCCTGGCGGGGTAGTGGTTACATGCCAGGCTGCTAACCGCAAAGCCGGCTGTTCAAAACCACCAGCCGCTCCAAGAGATAAAGATGAGGCTTTTTACTCCCGTAAAGAGCTAC